ATCATTCTTTGTTCTGGGTTTGATCTTGTACTGCTAAATGCAGCAGCTCTTTGTTTATAATCAATTTCAGTTGCACTTTCTGCTTGTTTGAGCAAATAAATGAAGCTTTAAAGAGTAACTAAACCCTAAAATAACTTTTTTACTTATAAACAGTATAACTGGTCTTTGTAAATGCAATCTTTCTGTTTCTGTGCATTTTTGACACGTTTGTGTAAACTTGATTAAATCTAGAATGTATGACAAAAACGTTGTAGTGCTGCCCCCGGTGGCAGATCAGCGGCTACTGCATTTTAAATTTGTGATTGGCTGGGGCTGGTACAATTTCACGTCATCGGTACAGTCTCCTCCCACTCCTCCTCCCTCCCAGGATGGAAATTCCCCACACTTGGCCATGCCACTCAGTGCCGCCTGGCAACGCCCACTTTCATAGCATTTTTCAGATCTTGCCTGGGGTGGAGTTACCTTTTCTGATGGTGTGCAGTCCCTCTTTAAGAAGCATTATTTCTGGAATTTATTTATTATCATCATCATTAAATTCAAGTTGGACAGATGACTTGATCATGACTTGAAAATTCAAAGTTAAGGACTTGGACTTGACTTGGATTTCCACATCATTGACTTTGCACTCGACTTGGACTTGGTTGTCTTTGACTTGGACTTGGTTGTCTTTCACTTGGACTTGACTCAAGACTGCAAAGCAGTGACTTGGTCACATCTCTGGTTCCTAATGATTCAACTTTTAACCATAAGAGTCATAAATTATACGTTCAGTTACATGTACTTCTGCAGGTCGTACTAGCAGAACAACAAAAGAAAATATGATTGCTTGTTTGTCAGAAAACAATTTAAAAGAAAATAAATGATGCTTTAATCATATTGATAACAAAACCCATTATGTCATCTAGCTCCAACCGCGGCAGGGCTACCAAGGGGCCACATCCCAGCAGGAAGTCTGTCTATGACAGCTCACAGCCTTTTAATCTCTTTGAAATGACATTAGCATCAGCACAAAAACAAAGTCTCACAGCAGTAAACAGTCATGGAACACAACGTCTGTAGGAAAACATAAAGGAACGTACAGACAATGCTATGTTTACCACATCCAGTTATAAGTCTACAATTATATTTATTTTTGATGTCAGCAAAAGGGTGGAAACTATAAATTAGCTTTGTTAGAGTCCGTGTTTTAGTCTGCTGTATTATATAATTCACTTGAAGGCGGGCAAAATATACTTGACTCCCATTTTGAAATGCAGTGTCCCAGTTTCCTAACCTAGGCAGTAAATGTGGCGTAGGAACACATGACGCGCGCCTGAAATCAGACGGTGAGCCACTGAACATAAAACATGTGCAAAGGTGAATCCCTCATCTCACTAAAAATAAAAAAGTACTACCCAACACAAACTTGTCACTTATGAATCCTGCAGAGGCTTTTTGTAGACAGGTAAAGGCTTATGCATCGCACCATGAAAAATCTTTAGTATAAAATCTCGTGTGGATCTGACAAGACTACTGACGACTGTAATCAAAATGAAAAAATCCATAACAAAGCTCCTCCAACAAACGGGAAGAACCACACAAGAGGAGTCAGTTTTTTCCCAGTTAGACTTTCATTGGACCATCAATTCCACTGCAAAAGATCTTCAAGAGCCGTTTGTATTCCGTTTTTATTGACTGGCACAATCATGAACAATAGAAGTCACTCGAACGGTGTGTGAGACTGTAGATCCATCATCTTTACAAAATCCTGTTAAGTTGAAGATCACTGTCTAAATGTTTTCTTCGTGTGCAGGGCATGAACACCAAAGCCAGGTCATGTGTTGTTCTGTGCTCACGCTGCACTTGATTTGGCTGTGCATACTTCGTTCACAATGAAAAAGTGTTTCCTTTGTACGATGTCAGACAATTTAGTGAATCCCAACATCTTCCTCATTTCCATAGACTTTTAAAATTTGTGAGGTGACCACAGATAGATAACAAGACAAAAGCTTTTAGATGATTCCTTGCAAGTTATAATTGAGAGAAAATGAAAGAACAAAAAGTTTAAAGGTAGGAAATATTAAGAGGGGGTTGATAAAGTCTCCCTATGTATCTAATTAGTGTAATCTGATTTTGGATCAGTTTTAATACGCTGAAGATAAATGCTGCAGCTTAAAAGCTGCGACCACACATTATGCCTCTTTTTTTAAAGTTGGTGTGATTTCCTGAGGTTTAAATAAAATATGATATTCTTTAGACAAAATACAAGATTACAGTAAAACTAACTGGCTGTTAGGAGCATTTTTCTTTGCAGTCAATTTAAAATTATAGTGTAAGTAACTTTGGTATCTACTGGAAAGAATCTTTGTATAAAAAAATGACATTAAAGCACCAGAGATAAGCAACAATTGCTCAATAGGAAATCACATTGAGGTAAGCTCTCTGAACAGGGACAGAAAATAGATTAATGGTAGGTCAATATATCAGAAATACAATTCAATTATACATACTTGTTCATTTCTATCCACAAAATACTATCCAAGGTGATTTATTGTCACAAATTAATACAAAATATGTATTATGTAGTTTTATACTAACATTAACCAATAAATAGTTCAGTTTTTATTTTAGAGTTAATCCCTGGAGAAATTTAGACATAAGAGCTTATTTCAGAGTTATAAGGCCAGTTCTAAATATCAAAGCTTCTGGGCAATTTAATCGATCCTTCATGGCAAGTGTCTCCATTTCAATGGGACGGCCCAAAAAGACCACTTCCTAGGACATTTCAGGGGAAAAAACGAGTACCTGCACTGGAGTATGTACTCAGATATGGCCCGGTACACTCGCTGGGTGGGACTTGTGTTTATTGGTTGTTGTAAGTTATCTTGGCAATCGCCAAATAACCGGCATTTGTTAAATTGGAAGAGTTGTTGGTGAAGCAGAATAAAACAAACTGCATTAGCGCTGCTTTAAATTAGCCATTTCTAAACTCTCAGTACCCAAACATGTGGCATAAATCCCCCACAATTCTGGAATTTGCTGCACTTTGTGGTCTTCTACAGAGTGACGTTTAAAACGGCATATCTTTTGGTCATTGAATGCCACATTTTCGTCAAACAGCCGCTCTACGCATCCCCTGAATGGATAAAATTTTGGGGTACTTTGAGTGAATAGATCTTTTTTAATGCAATATGTTGATGTCCTAGTAAAATTCTTGAAAAGGCTGACTTTGTATGGAGACACTACTGCTGAGAGGACTGAGCCAACATATTTTCTGGGAGGCAATCCCTCATCCCACAAATTCCCTGGAACTCTTGTAGAGGCTAGCTAAATAGTTGTAGACTGAATAGACCTGTAGCTGTTTGTGTTATAGCAAATTTGGAGAAGCATCTGATTGAAGACAGTATGTTGAATTACTTGGCTTGAAGAAAATGCTGGACCACACGGTGGCACTTCATAGCCTAGAAATTTAAACAGAGTTGCAGAAGCAACATGATTTTGCTCTGCATGTTGGTCTAGCCGTGCTCTATTTGAGCCTCAGCAGGCCTGACCAGGCGAGCGGCTTGCCAATCAAAGCGCTCTATTGATCTGGTGGGCCAGTCACAGCAATCTGTTGGTTTAGTAAGACAATCATAGTGCTATATTGGTTTAGTGGGCGGGATGTTACTGCAACTGAGCAAAACTAAGATGGTGACGGCTTGCTTGAAATAGCTTTGGCATCAACTTTGGACTATTTAGACTTGGTTTTTTTTATGAGTCAAGAACAGATAGGTATCCTTAGAGGTGTGGATCACTCATTTAATTAATACATTTGCGGTGGTCTCTAGTAGGAATGAATGCCTTGTAAGTCATACTCTGGGGAAACAAAACTCAGATGCACCAGTTTCAGGATGTAGAACTGAGCCACATCAGAGTGGAGCAGAACACGTCAGATTTTGGAGTCTTATTTTCTAATATTTGGACATCTCACCTCAGATTAGATAACAGCAACGTGACTGCTCTGAAATCTCCATGTTTTATCTCCACAAATAACACAAGCCTGAAGGAGTTCTGCTGTGTGGTGGAGCTGCTAATGCTAACGGATACCTTCCACTATAAGATGTTTCCTGCTGTTTCTTGAACGTTGAACCAGCCTTCCCCTTCGTGAGTCAAGATGCGAGAGTCCATGAATGTTAAGTGACAGTGTGACATAGATCTGTCAGGCTTTTCAGACGTAAGCATTTTACCAGTTATTTTCTAACAGAAACGAATGCAGGAGATAAGTGTGGAAAACTATTGTCATGTTCAGCCAGGTTAGAAAAAGGACCTATTTGTGTCTTCTACAATTTATGGCTAACTGCCATGTTGACTGAAATCAAAAGAGGTGAGTACGTTACGTTGTTCGCCATCCATTAGCATGCTCAGACAGTTTAAAAGGCAACTCTAGATCCCACCTTACGACTGAGATCTGTTTATGGGTCGTGGCCAGACTAAATATTCACATATATAGGATGGCTTGCTAGACTAGGCACTTAAAGCTTCTGAGATGTCTTTTACCAGCTCAAACAACCGTCTTTAAATAAATGTTTGCATCATAATTGACTACAAAAATACAAAACTCAACAGCAAATATCTTCAGAGCAGCAAAGCATCGTAATCAGAATGACAAAAAAATCTATTAAATCTTATAAACAAAGCAAAAAAACCCACAAGACCTATCACTTGTAACAAAACAAGGGATACTGCAACAAGCTGCCAACTTGTGCAGCAACATCCTAGAACACTATTCTCTTTAAGTTCATTCTGTTATGGGATCAAATCTTTAATGAGTTTCATGTAATGAACTGGTGAATCCCTTTTTCTGTGTTTTAGAATTTTACAAGCTGTTTACTGTTGTTTACACAAGCTACCTTTGAGATTTTCAGCTAACATTACAAGCATTTGCTTCAAGAAACACCTTCATTGTTCAAAAAGTGGGCAGCGGAATTTGAAAGGACACGTTCAGGTGAAAGAGTCAAAGAAAAAGAAAAATCAGACGTCACCTTCTCCTTGTCTCTCATGGATCCTTTTCCTAGAATTGACATCTTTGTGAGAGTGTCCTCTTGTAGTCTTTTTAACGAGTTCCCGCGTGGCCCGAGGAGTTTGCCGACAAAGTTAAACTGCAACAGAAAGTAAGGGAGAGAGGATGAGAGGCTGTATGTTTCAGATAAAAAGTAAAGACTTTCCGTGTGCCTGTCATCTCTGCTTCGACAAGCCCCTGACACCAACTAAAACATCAGCTTGTGCTGCTTTGTGTCTGGATAAGATAAGCGCAGATTGATTTCTTAAGCTGTCAAATTCTAGGTTTAGAGTTACTTTGTCACTGGGTCAGGGTGCTGTTGCTCGTTCACTCTCCCAAAATGTTAACTTTAGACAACATTTGGTTGGAGAAATTGGTACGGTGTCATTAAAACTAAATTGAACCAATTAAATAGGGGATAATTCCTCTTCTAGATGTTTTGTTGCAAATAAAATGCATCAAATCTTACTGAAGGTTTAACCATTTAAATCGCAGGTCAATTGAACAGATTTCGTGTTTTAGATACTTCATCCTTTTGAAACATCTGCTTAGCTACACTGAAACAATTACTAAACTAAAATACTAAAATAAAATTATAAATTATATATATCCATCCATCCATCCATCCATCCATTTTTATCCGCTTATACGGAGTCGGGTCGCGGGGGCAGTAGCCTAAGTCGAGAGGCCCAGACTTCCCTCTCCCCAGCCACTTGGGCCAGCTCCTCCGGGGGAATCCCAAGGCGTTCCCTGGCCAGGTGAGAGACATAGTCCATCCAACGTGTCCTGGGTCTACCTTTAGGTCTCCTCCCGGTTGGATGTGCCCGGGAAACCCCACCAGATGCCCGAGCCACCTCAACTGGCTCCTTTCGATGTGGAGAAGCAGCGGGTCTACTCCGAGCCGCTCCCGAATGACCGAGCTTCTCACCCTATCTCTAAGGGAGAGCCCAGCCACTCTTCGGAGAAAACTCATTTCGGCCGCTTGTATCCGCGATCTCGTTCTTTCGGTCACTACCCAAAGCTCATGACCATAGGTGAGGGTAGGAACGTAGATCGACCAGTAAATCGAGAGCTTCGCCTTCTGACTCAGCTCTCTCTTCACCACGACAGACCGGTACAATGCCCGCATCAATGAAGATGCCGCACCAATCCGACCATCGATCTCACACTCCAATTTTCCCTCACTCGTGAACAAGACCCCGAGGTACTTAAACTCCTCCACTGGGGCAGGACCTCATCCCTGACCCAGAGAAGGTATTCAACCCATTTCCAAATCAAGACCATGGTCTCAGATTTAGAGGAGCTGATTCTCATCCCAGCTGTTTCACACTCGGCTGCGGACCGCTCCAGCGAAAGCTGAAGATCACGTTCTGATGAAGCCAACAGGACCACATCATCTGCAAAAAGCAGAGACCTGATCCTCAGGCCACCAAAATAGATGCCCTCCACACCTTGGCTGTGCCTAGAAATCCTGTCCATAAAGGCTATGAACAGAATCGGTGGCAAAGGGCAGCCTTGGCGGAGTCCGACTCTCACTGGGAACGAGCCCGACTTACTGCCAGCAATGCGCACCACGCTCTGACACCAGTCATACAGGGACCTAACAGCCCGTATCAGAGAGCCTGGTACCCCATACTCCCGGAGTACCCCCCACAGGGCCCCCCGAGGGACGCAGTCAAACGCCTTCTCTAAATCCACAAAACACATGTAGACTGGTTGGGCAAATTCCCACGCACCCTCCAGGATCCCCCTAAGGGTATAGAGCTGGTCCAGTGTTCCACAGCCAGGACGAAAACCACATTGCTCCTCTTGAATCTGAAGTTCAACAATCCGACGGGCCCTACTCTCCAGAACCCCTGAATAGACCTTACCAGGAAGGCTCAAGAGTGTGATCCCCCTGTAGTTGGAACACACCATGCGGTCCCCCTTTTTAAATAAGGGTTCGGGGGTAGCCACCATGACAGGCACCGACGATCCTGCGACCACAGCTCCGGTCGGCCGCCTCAACAACGAGGCACGGAACAGGGTCCATTCAGACTCAATGTCCCCCGCCTCCCCGGAACATTTTGGAAGTTCTGTCGGAGGTGGGAGTTGAAGCTCCTTCTGACAGGAGACTCTGCCAGACATTCCCAGCAGACCCTTGCAATACGTTTGGGCCTGCCTGGTCCCCACCGTCTGAGCAAACTCACCAGTTGACAGCTTCGCCCCCTCTTCACCCGAGTGTCCAAGACATGCGGCCACAGGTCAGATGAAACAACAACAAAGTCGATCATCGAGCTGCAGCCTAAGGTATCCTGGTGCCAACAGCACATATGGACACCTTTATGTCTGAGCATGGTGTTCATTATGGACAATCCATGACTGGCACAGAAGTCCAATAACAACCGTCTATCAAAAGTAAGTGCTCTTCCTTTCCTCTGGAAGAACCCAGCATCTCTGTGTCACTTCACTGATGCTCAGACGCTCCGGGATTCCTTGATGAAACCACGAGCCGGCGCTAAACCGAAGCTAGCACTTCTGCGTCTGTGAAGCCACACTCGCTACAGCTCAACTCGTTGTATCTAGCCGACCAGTCTGACAGGATGACTGAGTCTGTTAGTCTCGTGGAGTTTGGGAGTTTGAAGGCTGACGTTGTGCAGCTGCATGCTCTGGTCGATCGGCTCAACACCAAGGTGAGCTCTCTATCCGACCTCGCCCTTCAGTTATCCACCTCCCTTAATAAGCTCCAGCAGCAAGCCCTCGCTCTGGTTAAGGAGAAGCTGCAGCTCAGCCTCCCGGAAAAATGGAATGGGGTGGACGGGAGTCCCGATGGCCTGCTCGCCTCCCTGGACATGTTGTATGAGTGCCAACCAGGAAGATACCCCAATGCCCGCTCTCGGGTGGCGCAACTCACCTCACTCCTCTCTGGACGTGCCCAGGAGTGGGCCGCCGCTCTCTATAATTCTAAATCCCCTGCCTGCAATGACTGCTGAATTTGTGGCCGCTCTCAGGAAGACCTTCGTTCCACCCAGTGGTGAGGTGGGGGCTGAGGCACATCTCCTAAAGCTCCGCGAACGGGAACGCTCTATGTGCACCTACGTGTCGGAATTTCGCACCATCGCTCCCAAACTCCAGTGGGATGACTCTGCCCTCCGGGCTGTCTTCTTAGAGGGGCTGGCACCCTACATCCAAGATGAGATGACGGGAGGAGAACTGCCCCACAGCCTGGATGAAGTAGCCGACCTCGCGCTGCTCATCGACCAGCGGGTCCTGGTCCGACCCAGGTCCTCCGCCCGCTCTCTCAGGACTCCTGGACCTCCGCCTCATTCACCCACGCCAGTCCCGGGACACACCTCAACCGAGAAGCCAATGCAGCTAGGCCACCTCCCGTCTGGAGAGAGAGCGTGACGGTGGTGCGAGGGTCTCTGTGACTACTGTGGCTTCCCCAATCACCACCGCCTGGACTGCCAGTTACGGCCGGGAAACGAAGGCACCCGCTGAGCATCGGGGTAGCTCAGTCCGGGTCATCCTCTGCCCCTGCCTCTCCTCCCCGACTCGTCCTTCCCGTGCCCCTCCTTCATGGCGAGACCTCACACCAGAAGCACACTCTGTTGGACTTGGGGGCCGCCAATAACTTCATTGATGCGGATCTGGCCCAACGCCTACGGATCCCCCTGACCCGCCTGGAACGGGTCATTCCGGTGACCTTGGTGGACGGCAGGCCTCTCCAGCCCTATCCTGTCCAAGACCGAAGCCAGTCACTCCAGATGATTATTCAAAGCCACCGGGAGACCCTCTATTTCCTGATCATCTCCGCTCCCTCTTCTCCTCTAATCCTGGGGTTCCCCTGACCCCAGATTGCCTGGTCCCAGAACTGCCTGTTAGACTGGGGGACCCAGTGCCAGGCCCACCTCTCTTCTCCCTCTACCAAGGCAGACCGCCCAGTTGAAAGACCCAGACTTTCACCACCCAATCTGCCGCCTCCCTATCAAGACCTTGCCGCCGTCTTCGACAAATGGTGCACCACCACACTGCCACCTCACCACCCTTATGATATGGAAATCAACCTACAACCTACACACATCCGCTCCGCCAAGCAGCTTAACCCTCGCCAGGCCCGATGGGCCCTATTCTTCAAGCCCTATGATTTCCAGCTTGCCTACCGCCCCGGAGCAAAGAATCAGAAAGCTGATGCCCTCTCCTGCCAGTTCTCACACTCTGCACCCTCGTCCAAACCCGCACCGATTCTACCAGAACACAGATTCTTGGCCCCCCTGAGGTGGCCGTTAGAGGAGACTATCCAGCATGCTCTCCGGATGACTCCGCACCTCCGGAGACAACCGCAAATCGTCTCTGCATCCCGGAGGAATGCATCCTGCTGCAGCGAGGCACTCTCCTGGGCCCACTCGTCACGCGTGTCTGGTCATGCGGAGTTCTCCCGGACTCTGAAAATCCTCCAGCAGGCCCTCTGGTAGTCGTGCATGGAAAAGGATGTAAAGGAATACACTAGCGCCTGTGACATCTGCGCCCACTCCAAGACACCCAGCCAGGCCCCTGCCGGGGTCCTCAGACCACTCCCAGTGCCCAGCCGTCCCTGGTCCCATGTGGGCCTGGATTTCATCCCAGGGCTCCTGCCTGTCAACAATCTCAACACAGTCTTCACTGTCACAGACCGGTTTCCAAAAGCAGTCCACTTCATAGCCCTTCCAGACCTCCCTTCGGCCCGACGCACTGCCGAACTATTCCTGGAACACGTGATGCGCATCCATGGCTTCCCTGTCGACGTGGTTTCCGACCGGGGCCCTCAGTTTATGGCCCACTTCTGGAAGGCCTTTTGTCGCCTAATGGGAGCCTAGGTCATTTTGTCCTCAGGCTATCACCCACAGACCAATGGACAGGCAGAGCGGGTTAGCCAACAGCTGGGTCGGTACCTCTGGTGTTTCATCTCTGCTCACCCCTCGCAGTGGCCAAAACACCTCCTTTGGACGGAGTTGCCCCACAATCTACACACCTCCTCGACCACTCACATGTCCCCTTTCGAGGTCTGCTATGGCTACCAGCCCCCGTTCTTCACCCACCAGAAGCCCAAGGTTGCTGTCCCTGCCACACAGTCCCAGGTGA